CCCGCCGTCCTCGTCCCCTCAAAGCGCCGCTGCCTGCTGGACACCGCCGCAACCCGCCGTCCTCGTCCCCTCAAAGCGCCGCTGCCTGCTGGACACCGCCGCAACCCGCCGTCCTCGTCCCCGCCGGCCGTCCTCGTCCCCGCCGTTACTGTAGCCTCCGGTTCTCTTCCCTTGATGAATAAATTTATCAAGGAGAGAGAACCAGAACCACACCAATTGCCGCTCTCAGGGAATCTGCCGCTCCAGGCAAACGCCTTGTTTGCCTCGCGGCAGATACGCCCCTGTATATATATATACACACATACACACACACACACACACACTATTTTAGCAAGAGTTCCCTTCACTGGAACGAAGGGGCCAAGCCCAACCCCTGAAAAGCAACCCCACACCATAATCCCCCCTCCACCAAACTTTACACTTGGCACAATGCAGTCAGGCAAGTACCGTTCTCCTGGCAACCGCCAAACCCAGACACGTCCATCGGATTGCCAGACAGAGAAGCGTGTTTCACCTGCTAAGGACCAGATCATTTTTATTATTTGTATTATTTAATTTTTTTCACAACTGTACATGGATTATAAACAGGAATGCACCGATACCGGTATTTCGGTATCGAGTAATGAGTACTGATATTTATATTTCAGTATTCGCCGATACCGAGTACCGATACCGGTACTTCCGGTAGCATAGAGCCGGGAAATCAGGAAACCAGGCTGTGTGTCATTACCCACTGCCTGGCTTCTTGATTGCCCGGGAAGCCGACTCCATTCTGTTTGGCCGGCTCAATGCTGATTGGCAGATCTGACAATATAAAAAAACAAATAAAGTGATCAGCGCCAGTAAATAAATACAAATGAGAGCTACTAGGTACTCAAGATAAATACAAATATCTAAAAGGATGTAAAACAATCATGTGCCGAGCTAAATAAGTACATGTGAGCACTGTTCCAATTTTGCATTCACTGAGTGGAGGTGAAGGTCTGTCAGGATTCTGTGGCAACTGCTTACTTGGAAGTATGGATCTATCCAGTGGTGGATTACCCCCTGCATTTATTTGCACGATTTTAATTGCTGCACATTGGACTTTGTGTTTTTATCACTTTGTTCACATACATTCATGTTTTGTTATGCTCTTTTGTATATATTTTTAAAGCTTATACTCCTATATTTCACTGTTTATCACATATTTTCCAGATCTGACAATATAGTGACACAACCTCCACCCTGGATTGGCTAGGAAGCCACCTTCCTGACCAATCAGCATCATGCTGGCAAAACAGCATGGAGCCAGTTTCCAGGCTCCATGTTCCGTTGCGGCACTGCCGGTCAGAGGAAATCTCCCTCTGACCGGAAGTTCCAGTATCGGGAAAAGTATTGGAGCATTTGGGTGAGTACGAGTACTGGCCCAAATACTCGGTATCGGCACCGATACCAATACTAGTATCGGTATCAGTGCATCCCTAATTATAAATTAGCAAAAAGGTTTTATTATAAATTATAAATGAGTACTATGAAAATAAAAAAAACAAGATATGTATATAGATCAGAGATGAACAAAATGTGCTTTTCTTAAATATAGGTGTATACTATAAAATTGACAAACACCAGCTGACAGAAGAGAGTGAGCAGAGAGGCGGCTGTAATAAGGGAAGCTTTGCTGGGCTGGTCTGTTTCTCGTGATCAACATCTTCAGCCACAACTTTGAATACACGCAGGGTGAAACACTACTCATGCATAGTGAAGATCCTGAATGACTGGCAGTGGGTGCGCAGGTTGTGAACATGTGTACGCTGTCTTACATGCTATAAATGCGAGGATCCTACAGGGGAAGAAGAGAAAGGACATCATACATAGGGAATTGCTGTGAGGAGACATGCAACGACTGCCAGCTGGAGACCTAGAGGGGCTGGAGCTGGTGGGATCTGGAGGGTTTGGGAGAGTTTACAAAGGAAGAAGCAAGAAGCTGGGAATGGAAATCGCTGTGAAGATTTTAGATAGACACAGCTGGTGAGTGTCAATCACAATGTAAAAATATGGTGTATGGCTCATTCATTGCGCAAAGAATATTCTGTGCTGGCCCAGCTCCTATTCTCCTTTCCTTATTTCTCTACATTAAATTTATATAGCTGCAGGGGAAGAGTGAATGTCTAGTCTAGTGTGACTGCTGATATCAAATCCAAAAAAGAAAGTGACAACCAACAGTAGACTCAGGGCTTTTGTCTAAACAAGGCAGACCTTTACAGGCAAATAGCATGCATGATATAAGTTAAATGCACATATAGTCTTATAGGAAGATTTTTGTTGTAATGAATTGCCTGGCACCAGGCTCTCTTTAACTAATAATGTGTACCTTTGAAAGAAAAACTTTTGGGGGCTGTCATTGCTGTCTTCTTTTTTTTAAAATGTTAGTTCCATGGGTAATGCCAGGTGTGGGCAACTCTGGCCCCCCAGCTTTGTGTAACTACAAGTCCCATGATGCATTGCAAGACATGGGATTTGTAATTAAAGCACAGCTGGAGGGCCGGAGTTGCCCATCCTTGGGTTATGCTAATCCAGTGACCTCCAGCCAGATAACGCAGATGTACGTTACTTATAAAGTAATGTATTTTTACATACAACTAGCATAATCACCTGAACTTGTCTTTATATCAGCCCCTATACTCTCCATCACAGCATAACTTAGACTGGGAGAGGGTTGAGATCACTATGAGTAAGACAGACAGAGAAGACTCTGTCAGCATGATAGAGTATTATGAGTTGAATATGACTTATCAGGGTGTTGCTGCTCCTTTACTGTCCAATTAGGAGGCAGCACACAGGGTAGTGACACCATTGTATTACCTAAATCTATTATATTTTGCCTTCCCTAAGTCTTCCTTCCCCCTTAATCAACATGATAATATTTTTTTTAATTAAAACCTTTCCTTTCTTAATGCATGATTTATTTTATTTTTATCACAGAAAAATGTCATGCAATGAAAGCTTTTTTACAATGTGTCAAATGTATAATTTATGAGCTCTGGCTCGTCTTGAAGGAAAACTATACCCAAATGTGTTGTCCAGGAGTTTGTATGGCCTATATTGTATGCAGCTTTGCTGTGCATCCTGTTGTTATACTTGCCATGTTAGGCTAAAAAAGGGAACCAACATTTTTTGTGGGTTTACTCAACAGGAAGTCAGGGTTGTGTAGGAAAAGGTTAGGATGAATAACCTTCACTTTACTTGTGCTAACAGTTTCTCTTGCAGTTCGTTAAAGTGAAATTAACCTCAGGAGTTAAAGTGGACCTTTACACTTAAAAATACAATTCTACCAATGCATCCCTCTTTGTATGATGATTATTAATAACATAGACATGTCAGATGTAGAATTCTGTGATTTATAAATACTGACACTTGCAGAGCTTTCACTTCCTGCTTTGAAAGTACAAATTACTTCAGTTTGTCAACGCAATGCACACTGAGATTGACTTGTCATCAGCAGAGCATTGCTAGGAAATCTTATCTTTAATATCAGGACATCTCCGGAAAAGGCATTTTCCTCCCCTGAGATGATGTGCATGGTCACATGTCTAGTTACATGTGCCAGTAATCCAGGAAGTAAAAGGAGTGCTAATAATCTGCCCTTAGTAAACATGGCCACTGTCAGGAGACTGGGGAAGAAAGAGAAATAAGGTAGGCAAAGAATACAAAGCCTACAATTATATAGAAGTATGTGTTTGTAGATTGCAATTACTAAACATTTCTAAAGGTGTGTTTGTTGTTATGTTAAAGATCAGGGTAAAGGTCCACTTTAAATTATACAAATGCGCTCAAGCACCTTAACTATTAATAAAAAAATGTATCATATTTGTGTATCACATGTCACATTAAGCTGGCTATACACTTTTTGTTTTTTCTTCATTCAACCCACAGGGGACCTCTCCCTCGCTGTTCTGATAACTTAAGTCTGAACAGTGGCTGCAGCTACTATTCAGCTGAGAAATTTTGGGACTGGCTCCATAGAATTTCTGGAAGGGGGAGTGCTTTATCTGTTCAAATACCTAATAAAGTTTTACACATGCAGGTTATGGTGAACAAGGATGAGCTCAGGTTCGGCCCCAAATCCATGTTCATTCGAAGTGGAAGGAAGCTGTCAGTTCTGGCCTAGTTAGCTGCAGCCAGGGAATTCCCTGCCCCCCAGCTGAGCATAAACAAAGGGGCGGGATGCTGGGGACAATATTTCTAACCAGTAACTTTCACCTGATCTTGGATGAGTTTTGTCATCACCTTTCTAAACTGTATTCTTCACCGAAACCCTCTCTCTGACATTGACCTGGATAATTTCTTATCCTTAGTTTTTCTTGCTCATCTGAATTTTTCCTAACACGCTCAGAAGGATGCTGACATAACCAAAGCTGAAGTTTCTTTTGCTATTCAAAATATTAGGATAGGCAAACGTCTTGGCCAGGATGGGTTCCCAGCCCTTTTCTATAGGAAGTTGTCTTACACCATGATTCCACATCTTACCTGTCTTTTCAATAATGTTAAAAAGAGTTGTTTCTTTTCTACTACAATGTTGATGGCGAATGTGGTCATGGTCCCTAAACCCGATAAAGAAACTTTAGCACTTGGTTTTGAATCCAATTTGGATGGTTTTGAATCCAATTTTTTCATTGTGGCACTAGACAGGGTTGCCAACTCTTGCCCATCTTGTTTATTTTAGCTTGGGAACCGCTGGAGGAGACTATCTGTAGTAATGTTAACATTAAAGGGTTAGACCTTGTGGGGATACATCACAAATTGTCCATGTTTGTTGATGATATTTTGCTTATATTGACTTCCCCTGTCGTATCCCTCCCAAATTGATTTCTTTTTGCCAATTTTTCAGGCCTTCAGGTAAATCAGTCTAAATCTAAAGGCTTGTCAATTCCCTTATCTAAAACCTATTAAATTAGCTTTGCACTCGTATTCTTTTCAATGACCTGAGGCTTTACCTTGTATGTGCATAATGCTTACATTATCTTACAACCAGCTTTATGAAACCAACTTTCCTCCACTTTTTGGACAGTTGAATTCCCTCCTTGACTCCTGGCAATATTTTCCAATCTCTGGTTTGGGTGTATCAATGGAGTAAAGATGATGTACATTCCCAAACTCCTATACACATTTAGAGTTCATCCTGTTTGTATCCCTATTCATATCATCCAAATTCAGCAGTGTAAAGATTTTAGACTTTATGTGGTGTTAGGCTAGACCCAGAGTCTCAAAACGAGTCTTTTCTATTCAAAGCTCTCAAGTGGTCTGGCTGTCCATAATATCCGTAATTATTATTTAGCTGCGAACATCGTGCCACTGTCCGCCTTATACTCGGTCATAGATTCACCATTGTGGGCCCTCCTGATCCTACCCAAATGTCAACCAAATTCCCCTGGCATCGGTTCCATGGCTCTCTGCTAAATATTGACCCAACGATTTATTCCCATTTGGGACTTGGTCAAATTTTCTGGCGATCTCGCCTCTCCCTTCAATAAAACTTTTTAATTCCCATCTATTCCCACCAGGTCGTGACAACTTTGCTCAATTTCGCTGGTGGATAAATCAAAACCTTCATGATATTTATTCTTTGCTTTCTCTGTCTGTAGTCAAAAGCTTCCAAAGTCTTTGGGACTCGCATAATATCCCCTGCAAGAGCATTTTCAGTACTTCCACATGTTCTGTTTCTTCCCTTATCTGTAATCATCCCACTCCTTATATGCTTACCCCATTTAAAATGTAAGTGTCGCTCTGACCCCTATATTAGGGGAATACATTCCCTGATATTCTCCTCTTTATCGCTCCCTAGAAATTCCTTGGTTATTTCCTATCAACACCATTGGGAACGAAATCTGGGACTCACCTTGACATCTGATTACTGGCTGAAGATTTGACTTTACTGGTTTGCAGCATTCTGGCTTGGCTGCCATTTTACCCACCTGGGTTTCTTTCTTTGCCTGAGCAGACTCTGGAACGTTGCTCACTACTCCCAGACTCCCTCTTATGGCCAGACAGGAGAGCATCACCTGAGAGAGTAGGATGGGAGTTCCCTGTCTCAGTCCAGTCTGACCTTGCACTTGCGTGGTCTTCCTGCTATTGCATTCCTGCTGCTTTGAGTATCCTGATTCTGTGTATGACCCGGTCCTGGCTGACGTTCTCCTCTGGCTCCTGGCTTGTTCCTGACAATGCTGATTTCCTGGCTCCTGGCTTGTTCCTGATGACCCTGATCTCTGTGTTCCTAAACTGGCTTGAACGACTACCAACTCCCACTCCTGACCGTGGCTTGTTCCAGTTTATGATTTTTGCTTGCTCCTGTGAACTCCAGTTCTTAATAAATGATTTAACTAGCACCTTTTGCTTGTCTGATTTTCTCTGTGCTCTGAAAGGGAGGCAACAGCTACATCTTCCAGAAATGTTTTAATCCTTGGAAATTCCTATAAAGTTCTCTATCAGTGATACTATACCCCTGCATGACAATTACCCCAACACTTGCTTTTAGGGTTGTTCTCAACCTGGCACAATGCTTCACATTTGGTAGCCTTGTTCGATAGTGTCTAGGCACTGGAATTAAGTGCATAATCTTATATGCACATTATTATATACAAACCTGTGTAGAAACCCTTTGGACGATCTAAAAAACGTCATATTTGAGGCGGTTAAGAACAGATTAACTGGCATTGAAAATTGACTGCCATTTTGGCAGATACCCATTCTAAATTTCTTTCAGTTTAGCAGCCCTGGATTTCTTACTCACAACCTTTAAACTTAGACTCTTCCTTACTGATTATTTAGTCCTTCCTAACATAGCCCCTCAGGGCCCATCTCTTATTCTCTTCACTCCTCTTCTCTCCTTCTCTCCATTCCTTCCTATCTCCTGGTTATTCTTTCTCCCTTTTTCTGCTATCTATTTTCTCCCTTACAATTTCCTTTTTGCTGTTTCAATCATTGACTTGGACCCTCTTCCTGTCCAATCCATTTCAGGAAAGAGGGATCTGTGTTTCTATTTTACATTGTCTGGAATAGTGTATGTTTGTATGTACCATCCAAAATGCTCACTTTTAAATAACTGATGTCCAGTTATACTGTAATTACTCTGTTGCCTGGATAGTTTTATTTGAGTGAGTGGTTTATGCACAGCATTTTTGTGTGTGTTTTGCCAGCATATGGGATTGATGTATTATTTCTATATTTTTACTAGTTTTAGTGACGAGTTTGCTAACCTTATGAAAGAAAAAGACATGATGATGAAAGCGAATTCAGCCTATGTTCTTCGCATTCTCGCCATATACAAAAAACAGGATAAAGAGCACATTGAGTGCGGATTGGTGATGGAGTATATGCCTCATGGTTCCCTCCACTCTCTTTTCAACACACTTAACGAGATGGAAGTCCTTATCCCATGGGCTTTGAGATTTCAGATACTTCACCAGGTGGCTCTAGCGATGAATTTTCTCCATGGTCTTGATCCGGCTATCATTCACCGAGATCTTAAACCCCAAAATGTCCTGTTACGGAAGGATTTAGATGTTCAGGTTAGTTGCTCAGACTGTATTTATTTATTTAATTTTATTTGATATATTTAATTTGATATGGTCACTATGCAAATAAAACTAAACGACACAAAGTTCTGTTGCTATGTATGATAGGATTCTGTCCACACAGATCGCTGTGTACTGTGTCCACACTAAAAAAAGTGTTCGGAAAGAAATCTCCTTGTTGTCGCAGAGAAACCAATCAGATTTAGCGTGGTAGGGATGTAAATCATTTGCTCCGTATTTTTATGTGTCCATAGAGCAATGGACATGTGTCAAAAACAAACACTTGGTGAACATTGGTGTGCACAAGTCCTGAAAAGAGTATCTCTGTAGACTTCTAGTAGACCAGGCAAAGTGGAAATCATAAGAATTTTGCAGAGGGGCAGCACCAATAGCCAAGAGGATCATAGTATACTCAATTTGGCAATATACTTAGTCACCTCTGTGCCCCAAGCTGTAACTGGACAGTGAAAGAGCAGAAACATTCTGATGCACTTAACTCTATGCTCACTATGGCATATTCTTTGTTAGCAAATATGCGTGCAAAACACCCATTTGGCTCTGGGTGTGTCCCTCCCTCTCCTAGTGTGAGTTCTGCTGTACAGGGTATTACTAGAGTCTGATACCAAGCCAAATTCAGGCACTGACACTAGTTGCATTTAATAAAAACACTGACACTAGTTGCAATTTAAATTATGTGTGCATGTCCAACCACCCTCTTTGCACTTTCTACTGATACTGCCTTTAATATGCATAGACATCTTTGTGGTTCTTCCTCTTAAAGCAGACCTGAAGTAAAAAAAAAGGTTATGTTGTAGAGAACATCTAGAAATGTTATTTGTTCCTATGTAATACCCTTTTGTCTTGAATCGCTATTGAAAAATATAAAGCCTCATAGCTGTATATTTGTGGCATTAAATTATTTAGGTCACTATTGCCTCTAAATGCTGGTCTCAGTAGAATTAGACTAATATTTGGTGAAGTCATTACAGTTTTCCTCACTGTTTCGCTTGCTGGAGAGGAATCTGTACCAGAGAAACTACTTTTGTATGCAGCTGATCCGCTCACTTCCCGATCGTCTCCCTGCAGTGAGTGGTGACTTTCAGTTTTTCAGTCACCACTCCCCGCAGGGATTCCCTCCTCTCCGATCCTCCAGCGCTGAGTGGAGGAATGAACGAGGGAGGGGGCGGGCACAGCTGACTCTGCCTCTAGATAGGCTTTGCCAGCTGTCACTCATGCAGCTGGGTGGATCTCGAAATTACTGTCGAAATCCGTCCCGGCCAGTATATCGCGGGCCACAGTCTGCTATTTACTGTGCTTTGGGTCACAGGGGGACGTTAGTATATGTCCTCCCGTGACCCTACAGAGAACTATGGGGAAAAACACTTACCACATAGTTCTCTTTTAACATCCAAATTTTGTATGTCCAACAGAGAATTATTTACACACTTATAAGGGATAAACAAAACAGTAAATAGCATATAATTCAGTATTAGAAGCTACTGAGCACTTCCTCACATGTGACAGTGCCTAGGCACTCTCTGTTCTTTCAGCTTCACTTTGAATAAAATATCATATCAGCTAATTTGTCTCACACTGTTTGAAGGATAGGGATTTCTGATTCTATGCCCCCTTAAAATGGGCACCAGATTCCTTGTAGAGTACTGTTAGGCCCTTGAATGCATTTCTACTGTGGACCTTTGTGCTGAACTTTTCTGTTTTACATTGAGTAAACTCTGCCTGTCCTGGTCTATGCTTCATCTTACCACTCTGTGTCTTGTTCCCGTTTTGACATCTAGCCATTGGATACCCCACTACTAACATCGGGCTTCTTTGTTTGTGTTTAACCCCTTGGCACCACATCTGACTGGCTAATTTAATAATTGGATTAACCTCAAGCTTCTTATGCTTGCTCCTCTGGTACCTTTCCTCTTTTGAATTTTCTCTGCCTAATCCTTGTTGGGGTACAGTCACTTTGTTCAGGTTAGTAAACTGCTACATAAGAACCTGGGAAAACCAATGTATGGTGCAAGCACATAAAACTTCCACAACTGGTGCGTGCTTGACAGTGGTGCATCAGTGGCCATCAAACCTGAACTAGTGTAGCCCCTATAATTATATTCAAAATATCTTCCTATGTGGTGTATATACATTTTATATTCTTGGTCTTTATAAAAACATAATTCCTTTCTACTTTTAGCTAACAGATTTTGGCCTTGCCAGAAATGAAACCTCAGTTTCAACCAGTATGGCTGGTACAGTTTCCTACATGCCACCAGAGTCCTTTACATGCGCTGAATACAAGCCAAATAAAGAATTTGATGTATACAGGTAAGTTTTGTAGAGCAGTTACTAAACCTCAGAGCCATGTTGTGCTTTTAGAGCTACAGTACTTATAAGCATAGATTGAAGTTGAATTTCAGCCAAACAGCTAAATGCACAGTTTTACCTGACAAAGGATTTATACATCCATAGATCCATCTCTGAGAGTTACACGATTCTGCCATACAACACAGCCCTGGCTGGCCTTTTTTTCTGCTGCAGTTATGTAAACTCACAGGTCTTCACCCGCCCCCCTCGACAGTGAAAAGAGAAGCAGCAGACTGATGAGTTCATCTCTCTGTCCCTGCTTACATTTAAAAAATACCTTCAGTGTTATATTAATAAATACAAAGCTGCATTAATTTGCATATTTTAAATCTGCCTGGAGGACAGCTTTTTAATAAGAGGATGTAAAGTACGTCTCCAGAGATTGTCAATGAAAAGTTCTTAACTATTTAAGGTCTTAATCCTGTCCTATTGCTTTCAGCTTTGCCATCTTAATCTGGTCAACATTGTCGAGCCAGGAACCGTATGGCGGTATGTCCCAACCTTCTGAACATTTTCCAGTTTACCTGAAAATCTGTTTTTTTGTTTAACATTTTAACGTATAGTCGTTTATATTTTTAGGCACAGACAGACACATTGTTATGTATAAAATACCACATGGTATTCGACCTGACATGAAGTTTGTGAACTGTTGGAAGACTGTGAAGATGGTTCCTGAAGCCATAGAGGTGATGGAACAATGCTGGCATGGTGACGCTAGTTTACGGCCCTGTTTTGCTGGTAGGAATTTCAAACGATTTATTTACATGCCACAGATTTTAGGTGCTAAACCTAAATGTTGTACCGCAAGTCCAAAAAAAGCACAGGTGGGCTCATTTATGAAACGTATGCAGTATGTGTAATTAGTATTTTTTTCTGTGATCTGGAAAAGCACCTGCACAAAATGTGAAAAGTGAAACAGTAAAGGCCAGACAACTGCGGGGCATACTGGAGGCTGTGTGGAGATGCAGGAGTCACGGGGGTGCAATTGGAGACACAGGACACACTTGCAGACACGGGTACAATTGGAGATACAGAAGCTACTTGGAGATAAGGGTGCCCACAGGGGCACACTTCGAGACATGGGGTGCAAGGGGCTCAGAGAAACTGAGGCACTAGAAGGGCAAGGGTCCTTCTCTTTCAATAAATACCTGTAGTATAACTGCAGTACTTTGAAGTACAACTGCAGCAAAATTAATAACAACTGCAGGCTTGCAATATAATAAAGTATAAAAACAGTAAAACTGCAGTAAAACAATAAGGGCATCTGCAGTAAAATGAAGTACAACTGTAGGTTTGCAATATAATGAAGTATAGAAACAGTATAGCTGCAGTTCAGTGATACATTACTGCACTTGGGACTACTGCACTATGTGCCAAATGCAATGGTACAACATTGTACTGCAGTTATGCTGTATTGTGCGACATGTAGCCACTAACGTTGTGCTGTTGTTGCAGTACTATGCAAGTAAAAGCTATGGACCACTCCTATGCAAAATTAAAAGATGCAGATTGTGTGTGTGTTTTTTTGCTTAACCACCTGAAGACCGGGGTGTTAAACCCTCTTCCTGTCCAGGCCATTTCTTAGTATTCAGAGCTGAGGTAACTTGACTGACATTTATTCAGTCATGCAATGCCATACTAAAAATACATTTTATACCATTTTTTGAGGACACGTAGTGCTTTCTTTTGATGGTATTAAATCATCACCTTTTTTTTTTTCCTATATAAAAAAAAAACTACCCTAAAAAAACCTGTTTCCCCGTGTTATGTTATGAAACATTTATTACCCAGTTTTTTGGTAAAACATAAAAGATAGGGTTACATCGGGTAAAAATGTCTTTATAATATCCTTTTCGCACACTGTACTGTTACACCCCTGAATCTGGAAGTAGGGTGCTGGAACAACTGGTGGATGGAGCACAACATGCAATCTAAAAGATATGATGTCCACACACCATTCTGCTTAAGAATGTTATCTTTATTTGTAATCCTTTAGCATGACATGTGAATGCAACATTTCAGAGCCTCACAGGACTTTAAAAGTTTTTACCGCTCATCAGTTTAGCGATAACAGTCATTGATGGCCCTAGAACTATTGCTCGCACTCCGACGTTTGCAAAGATATGTAACATGTGCAGCGCAATGGACACAATCGTCGATTTTGCAAGTCATTATACATAATATTATAATGAGTACATCATCTACATTAAATACCATTTCAAATGTACACATGTCATTTGCCGCTCAATATGTAGGAACTGCGATAATCCAGCATGGTATATGTACAATGTCAATGGGTAAATATAAACGTCATTCATTATATCATATGTACTGAAATCTCATTAGACATAACCATTTGGTAAATATTGACTTGTATTTAAGCTGGAGTGCTAGTGACCTTTCTTTACCTAAGTCCTCTATATGGAGAAATCAGGGGTCTTTTAGACCCCTAATGTCACCTAGGGACCCCCAAAGAAGCTGATAAAGCTTCACTAGCTTCTCTCCAGCTACAGAAGCCGGAGGAATGACAGTTGAATGTGGAAATGATGTATTATACATCACGTCCACATTCAGAGATTGGAGAGGAGTTCAACAGGAGATTGTGTGCTGATCTCCCTTCGATCACTGTTTACAGAGCCACTTTGCCGGTCCCAGGCGATAGGCGGCAGTGGAGGGAGGGTGTAAACTTCCACTCATCATAGAAGCGTTTGGGTGGCTCTGGAGCAGCCCGAATGCTTGTATTTTAAATAAATATTTTACCATCGCCGGCTGATTGAATTGCAGGCAGTTTCCCACTCCTGCACGCGCAGGGCGACGTGCATGAGAGGGAGCGGGTAAAGGACGTTTTAAAATGCCCACCCGCATTCAAGAAGCCACCGTCCGGCCGGATGGGAAGTGGTTAAAGTTTAAACTTTAACTAAATTCCTTGTGTGAGTGGCCAATATTTCTTATTTTCTGATTTTGGGTTAATTGTCTGGTAAGCAGGACCTTCTTTAATTTTAATTGGGCCCTGGGCAAGATTTTGCTGATGGGCCCCAACAATCCTCCTGCCTTCACCACCTGCCCGCCCTCACTTCCTGACTCACATCCCCGTATCATTCTACATCCCCTTCCCCTGAAAAGTAACTAAAAACAATAAATATATATTTGTTTATTTTTTCTTCAACATACTAAAACTCAGGACTCTGCAATGTAATGGACTCGACAATTCAAATTTTTGGCCCATAGGTCTATATTATATGTAGAATGCAATGCACCAATGCAGCAAGTGTTCCGGGGCATGGAATGTAAATGCACAACCTTTGCTTGAAATCTTGAAAATTCATCCACATTGTACTAGTGCATGCACAGCACAACCTTTGTTCATTTCAGTGGAAAGCCTGTCTGTCAGTTTGTCTTCTAGTGTTTATGGAAACTTCTATCTTTCATATGACAATGTGTCTCTTTCTCTCTAAAAGAGCAGTTTCTTGCTCGCGCATTGACAATCTTTTACATGGACAGTCAATTACATATTTTTTCAAGCTACAACCACCCCCCTCAACCTAATAACTACCCATGGGGGGGCGGGCGGGAGCGGATCACACTGGCATCCGCCCCCCCGCCCCCCAGCGGTCTCTAATGTTGCAGTAGCGTGCTGGACTTACCTGAGACCCTGCAGAGCACACCATAGATCCTGCATAGTCCACCTGAGACTCTCTATGGTGAGCTCTGCAGGGTCCCAGGTGGTCTGGTCGTCGGGATCCCTTTCCCTGTACCTCCCTTTTACCTGCTGCTGCTGGGGCCCAGCCTCCTCCACCCCCTCCCCTGTCACCCCTGCCATGCCGCCCCGTAACAGTTGATACCCATGTAAGAGGCCCCCAGACCCCTCACATGGGTACCGGCAATACCCCCCTGATGGCGGTGTTCTATCAAAGGTTGTGACTACGTTAGAATGTGTGACCGGTGACATGGTCACACATTTTAACGTAATCCCGCCCAGTCTTTCGGCGGTGGAATGTGTGACCGCCAATAGGTGACGCATTCCAGCTCTATCCCAGCTGTTCCAGGGCAGATCGGCATCGCAAATCGCAAGTGCAGGAGAACCGATCTGCCCTAAAACAGCTAAACGGTCCTGAAATGTCACTTCTATCCGACTGCGATCTCACATTCCACCACACTCACAAAGTCGGACAGAAGTGACATTTCAGGACCGATCAGCTGTTCCAGGGCAGATCGGTTCTCCTGCACATGCGATGCCAATCTGTCCTGGAACAGCAGAGAATGCGTTGGAATTCTTCACCTATTCCACCACCGAAAAACTGGGTGAGAATACGTTAAAATGTGTGACCACGTCACTGGTCACACATTCTAACGTAGTCTTAAACTTTGATAGATCACATGCCTACCTGTAATCATTTAATCAGAGAAATAATGTAGATTATAATAGGGAACATTACAGTGTAATATTCCCCATTATAACCCACTTGTCTGATAACATTAAATAGCATTTCACAACTACTATCACCCCCCGGCGCTCGGACTTACCCAGCCAGAGGGCTGCAGCCAGGGAGTTTCGATTTGAGCACTGCATGGGGCGGGGCTTGGGACACACACGCCTCCTGTGACTATGGACGTGGCCGGGAGGGGAGGTGAGTCACAGGACCCGCCCCCTCACTGAGAAGCCGTCGGCAGTGTTCGAACACCGGGACCAAGCACTGCCAAAAAATTCTGGATCGGATCCCATTGAGGCTGTGGGGGAGCCCAGGACCAGACCCCACTGGGCCCCCCCACCGGCTGCACCGGCGGTATTTCCGCCACTGCATGACTGTCCCCCATTTGTTTTCTAATAAACATATATACACTCTTTTTATATCAAATGCCCACAGATAGTTTTCCTTTTTCATAATATTTTTCATAATATTTGCAGTTATTTTATTTTATTATTTTTACTATTACTCTCTTACTATTTTTTCCCTCACAGAAATATCATAAGGTATTTAGATTCTGTTTTATTTAAGGAATTTTGTGCATTGACACCTATACACTCCTGTATTTTATTTTATTTTTAAACCCATGTGCATTAATTATTCCCTTCAGCATTTTTACAATTCTGTGACTAGTCATACTTTAGCTAGCATGTATTCTATTAAAGCCATACATACATACATTGATTGTCTCCGTGTCTCTAGAATGTATGGAGCGGCTAGAGAAGATGAAGAAAGCATATGGTGTGGAAATTGAGGATGCTGTTTTTGAGGTTTTGAATACACTTAGAGCCTATTCTTCATCCACTCAGGTATTTTGGGGTTTGTAATATGCCAGTTCTACAAGGTATATTTTTTGGTATTTTTGTGTAGGCAGTTACCACATGTACATCTTTATGGCAACCTAACTGAACTCCGCTCATTAAAGAGGACAAGGCAATTCTGTTTTAGGAAGTAACAGATAAATGTACAACTCAAGATCCCGTCGGCCACAGCTAAAATACTGTTAAAAAATTTTGTTTTGAGAAAGTTTTTTTTCAAATTGCTATAGTAATTGGGGTTAAATTGTCTATCGTTTTTGTCTGTAGTTGTTTTTTCGGGAAACTCCATTACATTTTGGATTGAATCAAATAAAATTTTGAATGAAATTTTGTGATGACATCAAGTTTCTGATGGCATTATGAAACGTTGTGACAAGATATTTCGAATGAAAGGTCATATGAAAATCTACTAGCTTTAGCTTGGAATAGCAACTTTAAATGGGACCTGCCATAATAAAATCTTTTAAATAATGCTAGACATGTGCACCGGAAAAAAATAGTTGCGTTTCGTTTTCATTCACAATTTTTGTTATACTTGTACACTAAAGGGTTAAACAAAAATGTAAATAAACACCACACTTTTAGAAAAAATCCTTTAATTGAAAAAAACATCAAAGAGTCAATTCTTTTATTTAAAAAAAAATTTAATCCAGCGTCAATCACCATTAACAACGCCTGCTGAAATAAAAAGAAAGTCCCGCCGCATGACGACCCATCCAAACTCGACGAAGACTGACCGCAAAATTATATCTGATGGGGACAAGGGCCTTTCCCCACAACCCTGACCCCCACAACCACCGGGTCAGGGTTGTGGGGAAAAGGCCCTTGTCCCCATTGGCATGGGGACGCTCTCCCAATGCCGGGGTCATGGCCTGGTAAGGCGCAGGGGGGGCACTCGATCATCCCCCCATTTCCTTCCCTGCCGGGCCTGTGCTTGAAGCAAGGGTCTGGTAGGAATTTGAGGGGGGACCCCATGTTTTGTTTCAAATTTGTGGGGGGTGGGGTTCCCCCTTAAAAGCCCTACCATACCTAAAGGGCCTGGTAGGGCTTTTGGGGGGAACCCCAAGCACTTTTTTTTATTATTAA